TAATCACGTCACTTCTCCTAGATTCAGAACGGTGACCAGAACGATCAGTCTGGACCACGTGTTTATTAATGAGGAACTTATGATCGACACGATAACAGTAATCAGCCCCCTGAGGGCGCAGTGATCATGCAACATTGCTTTTCCGTTAAGTCTGGCACACGGAACACGTCAACCGACACAACGAGGAGGTCCGTATCGCAACGCATCGCAGCAATAAATGTCACCTCATCGAGGTCACTGGCTGGTTGTTTCTAGATGAACAACGCCCAATGTCACTTGGAAGAATCCGTCAACCAGTTCAGCACATTAGTAACAAATTCATCAGACGAACATCCCTAGCTTATAAAGGTAAAGTCTTTTCTGAGTATTGGGATTCGGAAACGAATGACATTGATAGATTCACCTTAGTAAGCATACAAAGCCAATACGAATACCGAAAAGTGGAATAGCTACATAACTGAGCAGAACCATTGTCTCAGACTGGTCCGCGAGAATCAATTGAAACACCAACTTGATTAAGTGCAGAAGTTATGCCCCAATCCTAAGCCTTTTTATAGGTATGGTAACAAACTACGCCAAGTACAGCAAGGCATCTCTCATCTAAACTCCATCTATGAACAAGTAGAAACTGTGTAAGAAGCAGCCAGGGCTCTTAGATATAAAATTTAGTTATACTTTCCAGAAAGAAGCACCATTTCACGACTTTCTCACTCAGATCACGTCACCACCAGGATTAAGTCACATATCCTTCACTGCCGCGGATGTGTTGAAGTGACTGGTGTCACTACGCAAGTACATTTCACCTGGTCCGGACAACATACGTACCAAGTCATTGAAGGTAGCTACCACGAGCTCAGTTGAAGCGGTGTCTGGGTATTTCCAGCAATGTCTCGACAAGAGTCAGGTTCCAACTATGTGAAAGCGTGGGACAGTGAATCCCACTTTACATGGGGAAAATCGTGCTATACCCGTAAACTACCGCCCAATTGCTCTTCTTCCTGTGCTTGCTAAAGTCATGGAATCTGTCGTTGCAGTAGCCCTAATGGGATATTTGGGAAGCTGTAATAATAATTTATAATGGGCAAAATAGTGATCTAAACAATTCCCAAAGGATGACTAGAGTGAGCATACTAAAATATGGTTTGCGATGACAGAAAAAAGGGAAAATTCGGGTTGAAGTTGACTTACCGGGTTATGTGCATGAACTCAAATGCCAGTCTCTCCACCGCTATGTGGCAGAGAGGTCTGGTGAACACACTGGTTTGCGTTAATTTGTTTTCCTATAGAAGCGAACTATTTCACGTAATGTAAATCGGCTAAAGTGTGGTCCAATCGATCTTTAAAATGCATTATTGTAGAGGCAAAAATAAGGTGAAAAGAAACATCGTTCCAATAACTGCAGATCCAAAGGGAGAAAACATTTTGCCGGCATGTAAATCGACAATAGTTAGTGGCCATCTTGAGCTGGAAGTATCACAGGGTGACATTATGGCTGGCCTGCAACAGAGCGCGACAGAAGGTATTGGAGGTCGCCAGTAATTGGTACAAATTGGTAAGGTTTCTTCGAAGGCGCCGATATTTACCGCTATACAAGCCTAGGGCCTGCAGACTGCGTTTGTCGGGAAGGTGAAACATTCCTCTAACGATGTCTATCGCCATACGTTTCAAGCGTATCCACATAATGTCTTCGCCAAGGTCGACAGGCCTGAATCGCATATTTTACGTGGCACCTCATGAAGGCTTTCGGTATTCGTGGAAAGACTGATAGCTCGAACTTCTCGAACGCCATTCGTAAGAAGCCAAAGTGCTAAATGCCTTTTCTCGATGCATTCTAACTTGTTTCAAACCACCAAGATCATCCCAAACGACTATCCCGAAGTCGCTTTCTTGTGTGACTTGTTGCATCTGCTATTTTTCCAGTTGATATTAATCAGTACACTGATGGCGCATGTAAAAACTTTGCATTTCACCAAATTAAACTGGAGCCGGTTTTCGGATGACCATATATAGACCCTGTCGAGATCCCTATGCAACGCCGTGTGTTCGTCTACTACATTGATGGTTGACTTATTTTCATAGGACCCTCCACTAGGTAGTAGCGATTACTCGGTCCTAACTTTCGGCTGTGTTAGACCAGTATTGTCGAAAAAGAGCAAGAAACAAGGAACTATTACTAGCCGTTCCATGTTTCACACCCTAGTAACAACCGTCGACAGGGTCCTCCAGCCACACAGTTCGGTGAAATACACATAGAATGAATTAAAATGTAAACTTAACCATGTCATACAAATAGTCTCACACGTTGTACCATAATGTGTATCGCACTGGACCAATACCTGGATCAGAAGTTGGGCGCGTAAATGGACCAAAAGAGGAGATGAGACTTGGAGATAACATGTGCTAGGCCCATGTGATACCACATGGAAGAATTACAAAACTATAAGAAACGGTTGCATGTCACACATTAGAGTTGACAAGTAGGAATGGCAGGAGACCATGGTACTCAAGTTTACGAGTAATGCCAAATGGCAAACGAATGGTTAGGATTGGAATAGTACCACTTAAGACGGCTAGGGGCCAAACGACTACTAATGTAGATACCGCGAACACATAACTCCTGCAGGTTGGTTCGGTGGCTACAAGCATCATGAATCATTCGCCCTATCACCTCACAGAAAACGTCGACAGGTTACCCACCATCACCTGTACCTAAGATGATGTCGTCAGCAAATAACAATCTCTTCGAAAAAACAGTCTCCCGAAAATCGATAAAATCTGTTCAAAGAATATTAAAATCGTTGTCCCCAACATGGCAGTACATCTTGTAGCCTTTTGCAGTGTCTCCTTGATCACTATACACTTCCATCTGAGTGGAAACATTGTATCAGTACTCCGATATACAAAAGATGTAAGCGAGCAGGTCGTGCCAAGTACCGACATGGTAATCTTCCTGTGTTATCATAAGTGATGGAAACGATAGTCGCAGACGAACTGACGCAATATTTTGAAAATTTGCAAATCATTTCCAATCTCCAACTTGGTCTCAGACGCAGACGATCTTGTCCCACCGCCTGCGGTCGCATGGCTAGTGCGCCAGACTTTTCCGTGCTCTATCTCCACCCAATGCAGTCAACATACGCTTGTTCGAATTGGATTAAATTCCCGTATTTAGAGGGTGCCATTTTACGGAGCTAATCCCTACGGATCGTGATCCCTGTAACCCAAGCCGTTTCAGCACTTCTCGTGATCAGATTCATGCTTTTGACTTCGTTATTTTTTTAAAAATTTTCACGGTAAAGAAATTGTATTCCATAAAGGATTCTCCACACCATCTGGTGATCCCAGAATTATTCTTACAGGACAATGTCTAGGGAGTTACGACTCAATTTGTGGCTTTCGATTACACTCGCCAATCGTTGACAGTCGCTGACATCAATCCAATACAAGACACATTAAAGAGCCTAGCGCCGCGCGAACCACGGTCAATAGATAGAGT